GAACTTTTATTAATTCTTAATCACTAATGTCGATTTGATTAATGCAAACATTCGTTTAAATATATTGCAATTTTCTTTAGCAAAAAAATTATGTTTCTTATTTATATGAAGATATTTTCATCATTCGATTTGTCTCGTTGAGAGAACCAAATATATTGAATAGTTCGATTTTGGTCGATAGGTCTTGTCGTATCTAAAATATTGCCCACATCACGATCCACACACTTTCTTACACACGTATTCTTATTAATTTTTATTAATTATCTTAGAAATACGCATATACACAATTATTTAAAAAACTGTTCAAATGGTGTCATAACACATCTATTGGTTATCAAAAACGAGTTCACCATGATTTACTGATACCGAAAGATTTATACATGCAAACATACAAATATTTAAAAGAAAAATATGCCAAAGAATTAGTCAGGTAAATTATTTTTATACAAATACGAATATATTTCTATACAAACTTGGAAAATTATATTTAATAGAAATTGGACAGAGAAAACAGACCCAGCAAAATTTGTATTTGAGGATATTGCGATTGCAAGTTGGTTAATTTCATTATGGAAATTAGAAAGAGAGGAAAAATGCCAAACAAGGTATTTTAAAAAATTTATTAAATGTTCTACCGCTTAGTTTAGTATAAATTTTAATACATGAGTTAATATTGTGTGTAGGCTACAGTCATTTGTTGATTTAGGATGTGGAAATGGATTATTGACATTTTTACTTACATCTGAGGGACATGAGGGAGTAGGCATTGACGTAAGAAAAAGAAAAATCTGGGACGCGTTTCAAGATAAGGGATCTAAATTAATAGGTACAGAAAAATATTAAAATTCTTTATTTCGAATATTTCTAAAAAATTTTTAATATAATTTATTTAGTCGAAACATTGCAACCAAATGTTGTAACTTATCCAGATGCAGATTGGATAATTGGAAACCATGCTGATGAACTTGTTCCTTGGTAAATTTGTAAATTAATTCTGATTTATTATTTGGTCTTTAAAATTTAATTTAATCTTCTAATATATTTAGGATACCAATAATAGCTTCAAGGTCTTCAAATAATACAAAGTACGTTTTTATGATGCAGTTATAATTTTTTTATTTAATATTAGTAGAATGCTAAATGGTTATTAGTTTTATGGTAATTCCATGTTGTTTTTACGCACTTTCCGGAACAAAATATACATTTGAAAAACAGATAATTTCTAGTGGAAAGTATAAGGCATATCAAGAATATATTCACGAAATAATTGATAAATGTGGATTTATTGTTGAATATGATTGGTTAAGAATACCTAGCACAAAAAATGTTGCTATGGTAGGTAGGAAAAGAAAAAGTAATAACCAAGGTAAAGCATCCTTTATAATATAATAAATTAAAATTGTATATTTAGATAATGTTAACTAAATAAATATTAAATATAAAATAGATCAGATGGATGAATTGTTACATCGTATTGGTTCCGCAATAATTCTAAGGTTAGATTTTATGCTGATGAATTTTTAATCAATTCTAACTTCAGTCATTAAAAAATCTTTACAGGTTTTGCTAATCAATTTCGCACAAACACCAATTTATACTTCAAGAAGGTAACCGTCTATAAATGCTTTCTAATGATAAATCGAGCCATTCATGACATCTTGATGCATAGATGGTGTTTGTACGAATTTGGTAAGCTAAACCAGTAAAATAAGAAATTTCACTAATAACATCTTTTCATCATTGTAATATATAAATCTAAAAGGTCAGAATAATTTACAAGATACAAAAAATACTAGTAGCAACAATACTGAGAATTCACGAAATTTTAATGTGGTTTTACAATATTTATAGGATAGAAGCATAAAAAATTATTATAAAATTTCGACCAGTCATATTGATAGAATCTATCATCATAGCCAAAGTCATACATCTGCAGAAAACTTTATGATAAAATACATGAATGCTTGCTCATGAAGAAATTTTCAGTTATTAATATATATATTTTTTCGTCACAATTAGAATACTTCTGTTAAACTTGTTACCTTTCCACGTAATAAATAATATTGAAATCATCCTGCCATTCCAAGCTATTAAGCATAGTCAAATTTATAAAATTATTTAATGATGAAATTGTTATTGATCTTTGCATTTAAAATTTACCATAATGTGTTGAATAAAAATTTGAGTATATTTGTATAGCAGAGATCTGTGTCGCAAAAAAGAAAATTTTGAGCAAAATCAATCCTTTATAATAAGTAGAAATTTTTTAAACAAATCTACATTGATTCATAAAAACTCCAGATTTGATCATTTAGCCTACAGAACTAAAATTTGGCATAATTTTGTATGCTAATAATTATTCAACAGTTTAATTATTCGCCAGATTACTTAAAGGCTTAAAAATAAAAAATCAGTTCAGTTAAAAGGGCCATGAAGGTCCATCGTTCTTTATTTTCATCAATAATGGGAATTGGACGTTTATACAGCTTTAGCCATATTATTCATTTTAACATTTTCGTAATTATATTGCCTTTAAAAAAAAGTACGCTCAATGAAGAACTCAATATACAATAAAGAAAATTCTAAATATTTTTCTTTTAGATTCTTAGTAAAATTCTCTGTTCGTCTTAATTCTTGTATCCATGAGCGTCGTAATTGTGTAGTTGTTTATACGACGCAGTGTGGCCGGCCAAGGTTATTGTTACTTCTCAAAGTAATGCTTGTATTCGGTTTGTTTATTGGGATGGAAATCATTCAGTGATCACATAGGACGTGTCGGAAACTATTTTTACGGTACAATGTGGCTTGTCGTATTTCATTCGAGTTGACGTAAAGTCAACAGATCGAAAAGATGCTAAGCATGGTGATGCGCATCGTGATACCATCAACCGGTACAAGTTCAGTCCGGATAATCAAAGGAGGTGAGTATGATTTGAATGACTTTCCATAAACAGTAATCACTAACTTGATAAAGGCGGCAATGAGAAGAAGATAAATCCGTATGCCTACTGCCACGGTTTAAATTTTAAACCCGTGGCCTAGCTGCTATTTGGTGGTACTAAAAGCCCGAATGACCTGAAGCCACAAGAATATTGTGAGGCTCTTAAGTGGCGGATAAAGAATTAGAAACATAGATCAATCCGGCGAATTAAGGTAGATCAATCCCGGTAATTAATTACACCTACTATCCGATAAACATTAGATGGAAGCAATAATTGTAGTAAATATTTAGCACAATCGTTGTGTGCTTAGCTCACAAGAGTTGTGCGCTTAGCTCACAAGAGTTGTGAGCAATATTTGGAGGCTATCTAACACGGGTTGTTAACATCCCGAATATTATTGTTAAGAAGATAAGCCTGATTAAAGATAGCGCAGTAGCCCTTAGTAAAGTAAAAAGTATTTAAGGCCTGAGTTTCCGCCTTAGTTAAGTTTTCCTCAGACTGTGTGTCTTCAGATAGACAATGTCTCAAAAGTCTATAATCCGGAGAACCCTTTGATGTTTCAGTTATAGTTTATATTCGGATTCCCCCCCCCCCCCATGTTGTATTTGAGTTTATGTATTTGAGTTTAGTTATTAGTTTAGTTTAGTTTATTATTTTTATTATTGTTTTATTTCTTTAGTATTGTTGTTTCGTATTTCTTATTGTATATAATAAACCCTTCCCGGTAATTAAGTTTGATTGTTAAGGGATAACCCCGACCCAGTTTAAGTGTTTCGTGACCTCATCTCACATGTATAAGTGTTATAAATCCTGAACCTAGTTATCCATCGGAGCTAAATTGGATTAACATCCGCAATTGCTCTCCCAACCGATGGTAACACTACGGTTGATCACTCAACTGCGACAGACCACAATTCGCAATACACGTTGAAGAAGAAGTGTAAAAAATTTTATTAAAAAGCTTAGATAATTGCGTAACATTCTAATCATCAAAACATTACTCTAGTCTACGAAGTAATAAGACAACAATAGAGATGACAATGGACAGCAAGCCAAAAGTCGCAGATTTTGGTTTATTAAAGCAGGCAAATGAGATTGGAATTTCCTCGGTTTCTTATTAGTCAACACACAGGCGTGACAACAGGTCAAATATCTACTGCTATAGTGTAATTCTTTGGGAAATTTCAAGTGGAAAAACACTATCCCAAAGCTTCAAATTAAATATGATAAAATCTATAATCATTTTTACGAAGAGAACCTACTAAAGATGCACTACCTCAATATATCGAAATTACAAACGTTGGGAAAACAATCCCAATGACCACCTAAAAACAAGTATAATTTCCAATATTTAATTTCTAATAAACTAGGAGTCAATACAATCCTATCGAGGCATTATCTGAGAATAGCGAAATTTCCTTAAGCCTTTAAGATAATATAACCTACATCATTTCCACTTTACATAATTGGCTAGGAGTCAATACAATCCTATCGATGCATTATCTGAGAATAGCGAAATTTCTTAAGCCTTAAGATAATATAACCTACATCATTTCCACTTTACATACTTGGTATAAGCAATTCAGTGCAGAACAGCAGCATCCCTGACAATCCAAGAAATGAAGAACATGCATTTTCCTTTCGAATAAGGCAAATTTCTCAAAGCATTTGAACTTGTTGATAAAATTCTTGAAAACGGCCAGCATGGTCTCAAAGACTGATTTAAGACACTTGAGCCATTTAAGGGAAAGCAGAAGAAATCAAACCAAACAATGTATGAACACTAAGTCAATGTGGTGCAGCACACCACATGATGAGTGAATTTGAAGTATGAATTGCAGATTTAAATGAGTCATTAAAAAAAAAAACATTATATGATGCATGGGTATTAATTAACCAATCAAATATATAATTTTTAATTAAGAAAACAAAAAAAACTTTATATAAAGAAGTTTACAAACTAATAAATACACACAAAAGAATTTATTATTTATATGTAAAGAATAAATAGATATGTGTAAAGTGAATAAATATAGTATTTATTATTAAGTCAATGTCGGCAACTTATAGCACGATGTACAACAATGAAGAATCACATGCAGATTAAAAAAAAATCAAGTTAGATGATACTTTTTTTTTTTTAAATGTTAATGGTGAAACCTTGCTTTTATAAGTTAGATGATACATAAGTTAACACAAAACAACATATCACATAATAAATAAAATAAAGAATCGCAAAATTTAGATACTCCTTCGAAATAGAACTAAATAAGGCATTGGTGTTAAGTCAACATGGTGAGACTTATCACATTATCACATTAAAGTATGGCGCCGTAATTAGCTAATTATTACAATTAGATTTATTACATATATTATTACATAAGTTTTTTAAAACCGTAATTGTAATAATTAAATATTATTTATTACATGTAATAATATAATAATATGTAATATTATTTATTACATGTAATAATATAATAATATGTAATATTATTTATTACATGTAATAATATATAGTGAATAAAAAAAACTCTTTCTGATGATCACTTGGACCAAAATTTCCTACTAACGAAAAACAGAAAAATTTGTTGGAGAGTCGTGGTCTACTGGCGGTTTGTCTAGAGATCAACCTACTACTATGTGGGACTCCTCTACAAGGGATGTTTGGCATGCAAGCCAAAAGTGTTATTATACAAGATAACTGGCAGGGGGTGCCCTTGTATAAAAAATCTTGGTGGCAGGTGGGTCAGAACCAGTGTCGTCAACAAAGCTTTTAGGTCGTTACTTCAAAGAAGAACACTGGGAAAACAACAAATTATCTGTTGCTCTAAAGCCGCACTCTTTTTTTTTTTTTGTCTCAAGTGACTCCTCTATTACTTATTTCCGACTTCCTGCCTTTCTTCTAAAAATTTTGACAAAAAGTGGGGATTTGGTTTACTCTCCAAAAGATTGGCATTGTTTATATCCAAATCTGGATGGACTCAGTATATTACAACTGACGTGTCTTGTTTATCAAAGGATACAGTGTTACTCCACGTGACTTGGATCGAGTAGTAGGTAGTTCTCTATGCAACTCGGATCGGGTCTCAGGTTAAAAGAGATATCTGGATTTGTTTGGTAGTTGAAAGATATTCATTAAGGCTCAGCTATATAATTGAGATATGCAACGGTTGTAGTTGTTATATAATTTTTACTTTAACTTAACACGGGTTATAATAGTGTATTTCCTTGTTCATAACAACTTTTGGGCTGCTTCTTGATAGAGGTAGCACCCCACCTTGTTGGCCCTCGGGGCTTTTCTCTTTGTTTTTCTTTTTTTACATATTCCTTTTCTCCTTTCTTTTTAAAAATTTCTCTTTCGTTTATTTTGTTTTTAGTAGATATAGTTCTTTTTTGTTTCAATAATTGGTGGTTTTGTAGTTTGGTATAAAATCACTACTTTCTTTTGCTCTCGGTAAAGAAAGAAGAATTGAAGGGATTAGTTCTCAATAGGCTGACAAGGTCTATCCAACTTGTATACAATATGGTGCAATGAGTCGCTAATGGGCATGTTATATATAGCTAGTAGATATCAAGCTTGCAATTTAGACTTTAGTTTTTAGTTGTAATAGTTTACTGTTATTAATTAAATATATATAAATAAAGTTGTATTCGAGCTTTGACAAGACTGTCAAAGAATTAAAAAAATAAAAAATAAAAAAAATAATATATAGTGAATGTAATATTATTTATTACATTATTTATATATAAGTATATAGTAAACTTTTTTATAAGAGCATTTTCATATACTTCTATAAGTGTATTATTAATCGGTCTAATATTCATAGAACATTCATTTAATTGATAACCAATATATAATAAATAAACCTTCTTTAATCTTTATTTGTAATATTCTAAGTAATAACTTAT